CAGTTATTACGCAAAAGTTGAGCCAGCTGGTTCCCGCGTTGGTGGCGAGATCAGATGCAAGGATACATCGGTTACTTGGTAGGGGGCTATAGTGGTTAGGGGAATTGAAAATTTTCTCGGCATAACAAACAAGATGCTCCTTTGAATACGAGCACGCGGCATCCGGGAGGTTTATTTCTTTTTTTAGCCACTGTTGCTCTTTGAGAACGGCATGCTTCACGTTTCGGAGGCTATGTATTTTTAACAGCAACTTGATCGAATCTAGTGTGAACACTCCTATATCACAATCGACAGCGACGTAGTTTCCATTTAGACAAAGCTCTTTTATCTGCTGGCAGGTGGACTCCGAAGGAATTTTTGTCAAGGACAAGATATGAGATGGTTTCTTGGGCTGCTGTGGTAACAGCGTCGTCCTACTCGTCTGAATAACGGGCGGTACTCTATGGAAGCAGCTTCGCGCCTTGTCATGCTTTCGAAAGTTCCATTTCTAACAATTTCCTTTAAAATAAGAAATGTATATATATATGCTAATAAAACGCGTAAATTAATACTAGATATTAAACAATAAACTGCAAAATTTCAATACCATAATACCGTAAAATTCCGAAAATAAGCCCTGGGGCTTATATTTTTCAAAGGCCCTTTTTGAGGGGCTTATATTCGGAGGGGCTTATCTAAGGAGGAAGTTTGCGTTTCAAGATCGATTGGGCTAGCCTTATAGTTGGAAGTAAATTCATGGTTTTTGATTTGTTTTACTTTGCCTTTGTGGGCAATTTTCCAAGTACAAGCCCCCGGGGGGGGGGGGCTTCTATTTGGAGGGGCGATTTAACGGAGGGGTTTTTGCGTCACCGGTCTGGGGGGCTTATATTTGGGAGGCTTATACTTAGAGGGGCTTATTTTCGGAATTTAACGGTATATAGATCTAGCCAGGGCTAAAAGCGAAGCTCTGGTTAATAATACAAATGAACAAAAAAAATTAAGTCGTGTAAGGCCAAACGTAATCTTCAAGTATTTAAATGGCAGAAGGCGCTTTGGCCAAACCAAAGGGAAGAAAAGACATGGCAGAATTTATGAGCACGTTAACTTAACTTAGAGGCTAAGAGGTTTCATGTGAGGGCGTTTGCCAACCCAGCACCAGAAAAGAGTGTTTTAAATCTCGTTTCCACACAGCAATTTTCAAGGAGTTATAATGACTCCTCTAGTGGGGTTAATTTAACTCCTTACAGTTGAGTTATTTTTAAAATGACCCCAGGTATTGAGGAGTTAAAATAACCCCCAAAAAGGATTTATCCTGTACCTTAAATTTTTACTCCACTTACAGAATTAAAATAACTCCAGAAAGAGTAAAAACAACCCATGTAAGGAGTAAAAATAACCCCATTTTCGGTGTTACTTTAAATCCAGACTAAGAGTAAAAAGACCTCTTTTTCAGGAGTAAAAATGACCCCAAATTTGGAGTTTAATTAGGAGTTAAAGTAACCCCAAAAAAGGGGTTATCCTATACCTAACATTTTTACTCCATTTTTGGAGTTATGATAACTCCGTAAAAATTACGGTGCAAACACCCTGGGAACGAGGTTAGTGTCCGAAGGAAGTTAGGTACCATTTTATCCTTGTTACTGTTCCTATAAAGTGTGAATTGTATTGAAGTGAGTAAACAGTCAAATACTGGAGAAAGCTGATGAGAGTTGTTTGGTCATCCTTCTTGTAGGCGCCATTTTAAAAACCTCCCACAAAAAAATAATAATAGTAATAAAAATGGCAAACAAAAGAGAGAAATACGAAACATAAGCTTTTAACCGAGCAGTCTCCCCTCAATTTATACAAGGCTGATTGTCGCTCCGGTGAACCTTGCCTGCCCGGCTCATAGAATCGGCTACTTAACTTTGTAGGGGCCTTTCCCAAACGCTCGCCCCCGTATCGTCATCGTTATCCATTCAAAATCTTGTCGATCGAAGTGACTTTGTACCAATCTCAACCAGCAACCCAGTGATAAGAAGAAGTCCGTTATGCAAGCAATAATAAAGCCATGAGGTAATGGGTCCTGAAGGCAGCTGATGGACCTCCCCAGCCCCACTCACCCACTCTCTTACCTCCGCCTCTTCCCCCTCCCATAAACAAACGATGGTGTCACCACTATTCCCTCTCTTTAAATTGTTACTTCAGATCCTTTCGTTGGTGGGAAATTTTACAAATTTTTCCCTCTTGATGTACCAAATAATTTCCTACTATTATTAATATAGAGTAGGAAAGGAGAGCACGTCGCGCGCTTTTCTGTCACGTTTCCCTGCAGGCGACTTCACTTCCAAACTCAACAACACATGAAACGCCTGTCGCATTGAGGGTAGGTTATGTGCCGAAACAGGCTGAAAGGTCACCAAAAACTAACCTGCAACTTGGAATTCATTTTCTGGGCTGAAAGATGTAAAATTGTAGATGAAATACATCGATGAGAATTCTTATCAGTCCACTCTGCAGTCCACTCAATGGCAAAGAACGGATAAAACCCGATATTATTTCTATACATCAACGCAAACTTAAAGATTACCTTGTACAAAAAAGCTTTTTCGTCTCATCATAACGTCGACAAGATAATGTTAAAGTTGATCTCACCTCCAGAAGCAGCAGACCCAACTAACGCGTGGAGACTTTTCCCGCCGGTTTTCTGCAAAGGCCGTATGAAAGGTCAAGATGGCATGACGTCAAACGTCGCCTGTCACGCCACGCTTTGGACAGAAAACAGTAACGAACATCCAAAGACTCGCGTCCAACAAAAATATGATATAGAAATCTCACAAAACCGGCTGGTTTGATCAGGATCACGACATGTTATAGTTTAGATTAGCTGGAATTTTTCGATTTTGTGAAATTTACTGAGAATAACGGACTGCCGGCCATTTAGTGTTTTGAAAACCTTGACCGGCAGTCGAGCTGAAAAAATTTCTAAGTGTCAAGAAACATGATTTCCTCCTCTGAGCCCAGCGTAAACCAAACTCTAGACTTGAGATCTGTAAAGCATTTCAGTATCCCTTGACTTTTCTAAATTGACATATGATAGTTTAGATTAGCTGGAACCTTTCGATTTTGTGAAATTTACTGAGAATAAAGGACTGCCGGCCATTTAGAGTTTTGAAACCTTGACCGGTTACCGGCCATATAGCCACAGCGTTTAATAAACAATGAATTTATTGGCACATGACATGTCTTCTTTTTGTCCCTTGTTATTGTATTAATCAGTAGCACTCATTCCCAGTCATCCTTCATCTTTCAAAGCAACCAGTCCCCATACTTCTCCACATTATCCCCTCGGCGGTCTATAGAAGAAGTTGAGGTGCTGTCCATTTCATTTTATTAACTGTTGTAGTGCTTTGTAATGTGTGTATAGCAAAAACGTCTTTACATAGAGTTTTGTCTCAAAGTATTCCTGTTTGCTGTCTTAAATACAGGGACCCAACCACACCCATTCAGGGGATGGTCATGACAAGCTCATGGGCTTCATGAATAGCAGGTTTCCTTTAGCTGTTTACTGGTTGCAAGATACCTTTAGTGGATACATTTTGTATTTGAAATTATAGACCACAAATTCTGACCCCAAGCTGATTGGGCGTTAGTATATGGACCATTTGTATAGCACGAAAGCTAATTTGTCCTGTTTCAATAATATATGCATTCAGATTGTGATACAGTTAAAAAGGACTCTCATAAGCACCCATCTCGGGAATTCACACAGGCATTCGAAGTTTGAGTTGGTTATTCATAAAGGTGGCGGCTTTTATTGGTGCTCGGAATAAAAAGATGGACTTATTGAGGGCTGCTGCGTTTGGCTAAAATATTGTCATAAGTACTGGTAATTTCCAATACTTTCTGGTGAAAATTTGGATTTTTTTCCTTTTTGCTCTCAGTATTAACAAAATTTGACCACAAATTTGATCAAAGAGAAAACCCTTTATTCAATTGTTGGCTGAGTACTCAGTAGGGGCTCATTGGCTTTCATGAGAACTTGAACACAAAGGAAAAGACCAGCAGATACATGCAAGTCACAGAAAATTTCACTTTTAATCAAAACTATCCAGCCAGATACGTCAAAGTATGTCATAGTACGCATGAAGAGGGTGATTTTTCAGTAAAAACTCTTAGAAAAAGCTTATTGCTTTGTCAAAATGGCTGGTCCGGCCGGCCAGTTCTGACTTTTGCAAAGTGCAGTTACTGTAGTTGGTCCCTTACAAGAGAGATTGTAGAGAGAGCTTTGTTTATAATTTAATAGTCTATGAGTTAGGACTGCAGAGGGTTTTGCTCTATGAAGTCAATCAAGATCCTCAAGGCCTAATCTTTTTTTCGGTTTGCATTCAAGTGATCAGTAAATATCTTAGGCTGGACAAAGGAACTGAAACTGGGCACATGGCAAGACTGGTTTTACCTGAAGATTGTACATGCAGATCACACAACATCTAGTCTGTAATGTAACACTGTTCTTGCAGATTTCACTTTGTGAGATGAGCTTGAAAAAATTCAGTTCACGTGGAATTATTAGGAATTTTCAATTATTTGTCTTTAAGTTCTAAAGTAAAGTAATTCGAAATCTCAGGAAAAACTTCCCTTGAGAACAGAATTCACTAGCCCAATCACAAAATCCACTAACTCCGGGCTATCAGAAAAGACTTCCATTGCAAGTTGTGTTGATCTTGGAATTTCTGTATAAACCATAATAGAGTTGATCCATTTTTCACAGATTGAAAGATGGTGAGGAGATCTCCACAACCGCTGTGAGAGGTTTTTTAAGAGGCAGCTGACTACGCTGCTCGAACAAGGCTACTATGATCCAAGTAATCAAACAGATAGGTATTAAACGTAATACATTAAATTTAGAATGTATTCTTAACATTATTTAATAGTTTTTTTATTCGTTTATAGAACAGCTTGTAATTCTATTTTTTGTTATTTTATAAACTATTGACCTGACATATTTACCTGTGACATGTCTATATCATGGATCTATATGCATGTTCTCATTTTGTGTTTGCATTTTTAACAGGCACCTATTGGCATTCATTTTTATTCCTGTCATCCAAAAAGAAATGAATATCTTTAGGGAAACTGTGTGGAATTCACACAGAGTGAGAAGCCAAAAGGATGCTGCTGTTCTAAAAGGGATACCGTATCATCTCTATTCATTTCCTGGGCAATATAATGCAGATGAGTGTGGTATCGCTTGATATTATTACATATGCATATTTCCTTCTTTTGTTCAAGTACTAATTTGTTAAGATTGCTCTCCAAGTTGTTTGCATAAAGATTAAGGGCTGGTTACTTAAACAGAGTTTAAATGGTGTTTAACAAAACCACATTCTAAAGGCCATTCAAATTCGGCTAACCCTCACATCTAATCCTCATTTTCTGTTTAGAGCATCGAGAGGGCTTACAATCCAGACTAAAAATCCATTTATGTACTTAACCTGAGTACCTTAAACCAGGATGTAAGTTAGACCTTCTTTAAATAACCAGCTCTAATAGTTTTAACCATCAACATTGCATTTCAAAATAGAGAGGGACTCAATACGTACATGAAGGTCTTAAGACAGATCAGCAAGTTTATTGGTTTACTTTGTACAGGTTTCTTATTTTGTATACCGTAGGTTTGCAAGTCACCCAAGAAGCTCTGGATGAGGTTGCTACATTATCGGGTGTCACGTCAGTTGGGGATGATTACTTGCCAAGTCGTGTGAGAGAGGAATGTGAACGAATTGTTCCAAACATAGATGGGGTAAAGCCAGCTGAGGCAGCAGATGCATATCTCTTCTTAAAGGCACAGTACAGAGAGCCAACATCATGATCATCACAATCATAAATCATTATTGCAGCTTTTTTACTATTTATACAAGGCTGATTGTCGCTCCGGTGAACCTTGCCTGCCCGGCTCATAGAATCGGCTACTTAACTTTGTAGGGGCCTTTCCCAAACGCTCGCCCCCGTATCGTCATCGTTATCCATTCAAAATCTTGTCGATCGAAGTGACTTTGTACCAATCTCAACCAGCAACCCAGTGATAAGAAGAAGTCCGTTATGCAAGCAATAATAAAGCCATGAGGTAATGGGTCCTGAAGGCAGCTGATGGACCTCCCCAGCCCCACTCACCCACTCTCTTACCTCCGCCTCTTCCCCCTCCCATAAACAAACGATGGTGTCACCACTATTCCCTCTCTTTAAATTGTTACTTCAGATCCTTTCGTTGGTGGGAAATTTTACAAATTTTTCCCTCTTGATGTACCAAATAATTTCCTACTATTATTAATATAGAGTAGGAAAGGAGAGCACGTCGCGCGCTTTTCTGTCACGTTTCCCTGCAGGCGACTTCACTTCCAAACTCAACAACACATGAAACGCCTGTCGCATTGAGGGTAGGTTATGTGCCGAAACAGGCTGAAAGGTCACCAAAAACTAACCTGCAACTTGGAATTCATTTTCTGGGCTGAAAGATGTAAAATTGTAGATGAAATACATCGATGAGAATTCTTATCAGTCCACTCTGCAGTCCACTCAATGGCAAAGAACGGATAAAACCCGATATTATTTCTATACATCAACGCAAACTTAAAGATTACCTTGTACAAAAAAGCTTTTTCGTCTCATCATAACGTCGACAAGATAATGTTAAAGTTGATCTCACCTCCAGAAGCAGCAGACCCAACTAACGCGTGGAGACTTTTCCCGCCGGTTTTCTGCAAAGGCCGTATGAAAGGTCAAGATGGCATGACGTCAAACGTCGCCTGTCACGCCACGCTTTGGACAGAAAACAGTAACGAACATCCAAAGACTCGCGTCCAACAAAAATATGATATAGAAATCTCACAAAACCGGCTGGTTTGATCAGGATCACGACATGTTATAGTTTAGATTAGCTGGAATTTTTCGATTTTGTGAAATTTACTGAGAATAACGGACTGCCGGCCATTTAGTGTTTTGAAAACCTTGACCGGCAGTCGAGCTGAAAATGAATAAAAATAAAATAAACCAGTCATAAAACAGCTGTTTTGCCGAGGTGTGGAAGGAAATGGAATGCAGACTATGGCTGACTTAGGCCCATCATCTTGCAGTAGTCATTGCATTCATGTGCATCAATAAAGGCTGTTATCCCTACTGATGAACAATTTCCGCAGCAGAAGTAAAATTCCATGCTGTTGGCATCCATAAGCACATTCGTTGCTATTTCAGGATCTTATAAACAGTAGCCAGATCCCTGTATATCTAGTAGCATGAGTTGTTGGTTGGATGATTCATATGTGTAGTGAACCAGACACTCTGCTTTAGCAGACAAATCTTTTAAAACATCATCTGCATCTTCGGGTGGTTTGGCTTTCTTACCATCATTATTTATCAATTTGGCAAAGGGTCCTGGCACAAATTCCTCCACTGTAGCAGGTTGCTCATTTATTGTGGTGAAGTACACGTGGTTGTACTGAAAACACTCTCCCATTTCTTTTGGAGCCTGCGACTCCGTTTCTATACTTTGGAGCCTGCGACTTAAACTTCTTTGTTAAATGCCTCGCTACCTCATGCATTTGAACTTGTTTGCAGCAATGGCTCTCTATATTTGTGTTAAATTAAGAACCAATTGCTTCTTTGGACTTATCAATGTACATTTTGATAACCCAGTGATTTGGAATGTTTTGCTTGGTGGATTTTCCAGTTAGCACTCAGTGATAAGCATCACGGAATCCACCTGAGGAAAACTTCTCTGAATCTACTGCACACTCAACTTCCATTGCATCTTTCCATTGTCTGGAGGCAATGTCAAATTGTTCAAAGTTCAGCAATAACTTTTTTTTTTGCTACAGGTTTAACTAGCTTTCCAGCCTCCAGTAATGAGGCAATGGATACAGATGAAGGAAACTAAGTTGTCACCGAAAAGCTTCCATAAGTTGCTTTGGGATTATTGGATGCATTTGCTTTTCTCACTGGAGCAGATAGCGCACCAGTAGTACAATGCACTGAGTCGTTATCAAACAACTCTTCCTGAACATCTTGTGTGTGAGAGTGATAGGAGTCTTCGCCATAATCTTGGCCAACTACAAACCGCACCAAATACACCTACAAATA